GGTAGTACTAAGAATTATTTGAAGACTAGGTGGTATCAACATATATTGTCCTTTACTAATAATACATCACTTTCTAAGCATTTTTGGAGTTTGAAAGACGATAACAAAAATCCTAAGGTGAAATGGAAAATTTTAATCATGTCAAGGACATGTAGATTCTTATATGAACCCTGTTCTCTGTGTTTACGTCAAAAATTGTAGTTGACCTGTGTTGCACCATATACGGTTTATCTTTCTGTCGATATTAATTTAGATTTAATATAATCTCCTGGTAATGTTAGTAGCATCTTGTATAAATATATTGGTATTTGGTTGGTATCTTGACATTTTGCATTGATTGGTTATTGTTATTAACACATTATATAAATAATCTTTGAATCAAAAATTGCATATTAATTTATCAAGTAAATCTATAGATTTTAATTATTTACTGGTTTCTTAAAGAAGCTATTTATTTATCAATTATAAAAATGTTTTTTATTATGTAGGGAACTCACAAAGCATATAACTAGTCTAGCATTTTGTTAGATTAACACTTAATTTTTATTATTAATCCTTTTCGTTTTTTGATGTTTTATAAACGTAGTATTAACGTAGTAAAACAAATTGGGGGAATTGCATTTAAAATAACAGAATAGAATACTCAAGCAATCTAAAAAATTGGACGAATAAATAGCTTTAATTATCTTCCAAGACCAAAACAAACTATTCAATAAGCAACCTAAGCAAACACCCCACCAAATTTTAAATAGCCGAGGAAAAATGCAGTTCGCAGCCTGACGATTGCAACCAGCATGAAACAGCCTGTCGCCTCTGAGTGTTGACTTCAATGTTCACTTCTATATCTATATTTACATTCGCTCTATCTCTGATATTGAGCACTTTATCAGATAAATACACCACACCTTAAAACTATATTTCTTCATATATATATATATATATATATATATATATATATGACGATTGCGTCTAGCCTGTCACCTCTGGGTGTTGACTTCAATGTTCACTTTTATATTTATACTTACATACGCTCTATCTCTGATATTGAGCTCTTTATCCCATAAATATAGCACACCTTAAAACTATTTTCTTCATTCATATATATATATATATATTACCCAAAGACAATTGACAGAGTGATATATATATATATATATATATATATATATATATATATATATATATATATATATATATATATATATATATATTTTGTGCATGCGTCTTTCCTCATATACACGGCATTTTAACCAAAGTTATTTTGGTGAATCTAGATGGTAATGCCTTTTTATCATTCTTTAAGACTTTTAACAATTCGAAATTTATTACGTAAGATATTTGGAAGTAAATCTCTATGAGTGCAGGACTTTGAATTGATTTTCAATCATTGAATCATTTTCTCAAGACAGATATTCCAAGAGATTTTATGCGGCCTTAAGTAAGTTTGCACTTTTTTTTTTCCAAATTTCACCAAACCGTAGGACAAATGTTCCGCCCGAGTGAACAATATTAGCCTTACTTTGTCCAAAGATGGTTCAAATATCATACACTCTTGCCTCGATGATTCTCGTTTGATTTTTCAAACTCAAATATGCCCGACTCCACCCAACCAACTTTTGGTTCAGCTTTGATTTTTACGGATAGCTTCAGGGCAGCCTTGATGGATCATTTCTATTACAATGGCGTCGGCATTATTCATACAACGAATCAGGAAGTACTTAGATATTTTTTTTATTTTCCATAATTTTCCATTGTTCTATGACAAAAACAACTCTCTCTCTCTCCTTCTCTCTCCTTCTTTCTCCCTCTCTCACCCTCTCTCTCTCTTTCTCTCTTTCTATATATATATATATATATATATACACACACAGACACACATATATGTGTATTAGAGTGTGCAACTTATATATTATATCATCAAGAAGTAATTTATACAAAGAATTAATTAGCAATGTTAATGTGATTAATGACGAAATCATTTCACTAACAAGATTAATGAGACATTAACTTACTATTATTTTCTTGTATAGTGTAGACCGAAAGATTTTTAAAAAAATTAAGCATCGTAATTTAATGTCTCATTTAGTCTTGTTAGCGAATTGATTTCGGCTCTAATCACATTAACATTGCTAAATAATTCTTTGTATAAATTAATTCTAACATCTTAATACAATGCGCGGAACAGAATTTCTGAAAAGAAAGAAATGACAAACATGTATTGTTCAGTATCTGTTTCGGCCCTTCAGTATCTGTCTATATTTCTGAGACGAGGTATTATGTACACTATTTACATTATTCTGACTATTATCATCATCTTTGTCGCCATATTTATTACAACGTTTCGGCGGTTGTACGCTCCGGCCTTCTTTACCAGTGCTCATATTGCAATTTTTGCTTTTATCAAATCATATTTTTACCAGAGCTCATATTGCAATTTTTGTTGTTATTATCGCTTTTCTCTGGTGGCTGAAGACATTTGGTCTATAATACCCAGAAATTCATACACAGATGTCCTCAAGGACACATGGCACAGTGGATAAAGGCGTTGGTTAGATCCAGCGACAGGACCCAATAAGTGTGAGTTCAATACCCGTGGAGAACTTGGAGAGGGAAATTAACAGGAGATAACTGATAACTGACATCCATTAAACATGGCACGTGGAACTAGAACAGTCTACCCCAGTGAGCGAAACAACCTGAAGAATGCCGGAGTGTACAACGGCCGAAACGTTGTAATAAATATGGCGACAAAGATGAGGATAATAGTTCGAATAATGTAAATAATAATTGTGTAATTCTATATGATATGCATATTATTTATATATATATATATATATATATATATATATATATATATATATATATATATATGTTACCAGATTTGTTTACTTTTGATATTTGAAGCCATTGTAAATTTTAACTCGTCTACGCACATGTAACCAACCAGTACTAAAAATTACTTTATTACTTTCAAAAGATAGACTTCAGTGATGTTTACAGCTTGATTATATATTTAATGTCTTTTTTCATCTTCTTTATAGTTAGGGAACATCTGGTCAAGATGTCATAAGTTAATGACGTCATTATTTTTGTTTATCTTCCATTGTGCGTATCACTTAACAAATATAATAAATTTATCATTTACAATGAAAACGTCAAAACGTGTAAACAATCAAAATTATTACAGATAATCCCGCATCTCAAATATCTCCCCTCTGTATGAATTGTCATGACCTTATAATACCAATAAAAAAAATTCTTACATTGGTCAAACAATTACCACATTCTCTCGTAGGTTGACTTGTCACTTGCTGGGATTTAGTGCAATACGAACAATCAAAATACGACTATCAACATGTGACAAATATTAGCAGATAATACCGAAATAATATACATTTAAGGAAATGTTAGATGCGTTAATTTCCAGGGAAACGATGAGTAACCTACGTAACGAGTTTGTATAAATGGATGGACGAACAGGGAATGGAAGTGGTGCTGAAATGATAAACCTTATGAAAAACTACAAAAGATAAGAAGTTGGGAAGAGTTAGAGTCGTCCAGATCCTGAAAGGATACAGTACAAGAAGAAGAAAAAGAAGAAGAAGAGGAGGAGGAAGAAGAAGAAGAAGAAGAAGAAAAAGAGGAGGATGAGGGAGAAGAAGAAAAAGAGGAGGAGGAAGAAAAAAGAGGAGGAGGAAGAAGAAGAAAAAGAAAAATAAGAAGAAGAGGAGGAGGAGGAGGATGAAAAAGAAGAAGAAGAAGAAGAGGAGGAGGAGGAGGAAGAAGAAGAAGAAAAAGAAGAAAAAGAGGAGGAGGAAGAAGAAAAAGAAGAAGAAGAAGAGGAGGATGAGGAAGAAAAAGAAGAAGAGGAGGAGGAGGAAGAAGAAGAAGAAGAAGAAGAAAAAGAGGAGGATGAGGGAGAAGAAGAAAAAGAAGAAAAAGAGGAGGAGGAAGAAAAAAGAGGAGGAGGAAGAAGAAGAAAAAGAAAATAAGAAGAGGAGAAGAAGAGGAGGAGGAGGAGGAGGAGGAAAAGAAGAAGAAAAAGAGGAGGAGGGGAAAAAAAAGAGGAGAAGAAGAAGAAAAAAGAGGAGGAGGAAGAAAAAAGAAGAAGAGGAGGAAGAAAAAGAAGAAGAAGAAGAAAAAGAGGAGGATGAGGAGAAGAAGAAAAAAGAAAAAAGAGGAGGAGAAGAAAAGAGGAGGAGGAGGAAGAAGAAAAAAAAGAAGAAGAAGAGGAGGAGGAGGAGGATGAAAAAAAGAAGAAGAAGAGGAGGAGGAAGAAGAAAAAAAAGAAGAAAAGAGGAGGAAGAAGAAAAGAAGAAGAAAAGAAGAAGAAGAAGAGGAGGATGAGGAAGAAAAAGAAGAAGAGGAGGAGGAGGAAGAAGAAGAAGAAGAAGAAAAAGGAGGAGGAAGAAAAAAAAAAAAGGAGGAGGAAGAAGAAGAAAAGAAGAAAAAAAAAGGAGGATGAAGAAAAAAGAAGAAGAAGAGGAGGATGTGGAGGAAGAAGAAGAAAAAGAAGAAAAAGAGGAGGAGGAATAAGAAAAAGAGGAGGAGGAAGAAGAAAAAGAAGAAGAAAAAGAAGAAGAAGAAGAAGAGGCGGATGAGGAAGAAGAAGAAAAAGAAGAAAAAGAGGAGGATGAAGAAAAAAAAAAGAAAAAAAGAAGAAGAAGAGGAGGAGGAGGAAGAAGAAAAAGATGGAAAAAAAAGATGAAGAAGAATAATTTTCATTGAATTGATTCTTATCAATCGTTTGTAGGTTTACAGGTTATTTTATGTACGAAAAATATTTTCAGATTGTAAGAATTTTGGGGGAGATAATAATGATTTACTGATACATGTCCTACTAATTAACCCATAGCTGGGGGCGTAGAAGAGGCGTAATCATACTTTTCCCAGGGTTATTTGTGCGCAAGTGAATTTAACAAACCTAATTGGAATTGGAGCTCTGCTCCCCGAGTTTCAATCCCGAGCCGTTATCCACTAGACCACACACACATCCAGACTTACAGAACCCGGTATTCTCGAGCGGTCGCCCATCTAAGTGCTGACCAGGCTCGACGTTGCTTAACTTCGGCGATCGTACGTGATATGGCTAAGAATAAGAGAGAATGTCTCTATTAGTTATCGCCACAGTTCTAATAACAAATTTATTTGCAATGAAACACCCGACATTAAAACGTGAAGAATAATACTGTTATGGGATCTTACCAATAATGGACTATTCCCTACTTAATAAATACTGCGCCTCGGGAGTAGGCAAGAAGTCAGTCAGTAGTTCAAGTCGAGTCAAGAGTTGAGTCAGAGGCAGTCCGAATCAGAGTTGCGTTCTAACAATTACTGCAAGACATTTGGAATAGTGATACTGGTCGAGACTACATTGTTCTCTCTACTAAACCTGATTGTTCATACTAACACTTCTACTTCTCTGTATATATTCCTGTTTGTAATATATCTGTGTTATTCCATACCTGTGTTCGGGTTCTTCTTTATTGGTTCTACCTTGGACTATTATGGTGGTACAAGGAACCGGACCATAACAAATATAAATGATGAGTTTGTGTTATTCATGATGAAAAGATAGAGAGAAACACAACAAATAATTGTTTTTATAAATACACGTAATACAAACAATCATATCCAATTTCTTTGCACAGTCTATTAAGGGAAAATCTACCAATAATATTATCTACAATAGCTGGTCGATCAGAAAAAGCGTTCAATTAGAATGGAGCAAAAACAGCATCATGTTTAGATGTAACAGAGTCTATCTTCTTCAATTACTATAAAGTACTTTCATTAAAATAATTTTTTAAAATAATGATTTTTGACCAGCTTTATCGATTATTGATTTTTTTTAAATCATCGATTTTTTTTTACGCTAAGAAACTATCTCTTACATTGTACAATGTATGTGCCAAGTTTGATCAAAATCGGTTCGATCGATCTCGTGTGAAAAGGCATCACACAGACAGATACACAGACATTCTCTGTTTTATATAGAAAAAAAGACGATATCAAACGCTATAATGAGGCTTATAAGCTAGTAGAAAAACAAGGAAGACATTTAATACTTGATTGAATCAAGCAAGACTGTTTCCAAAATGAGATTGTCACTACATTGGTCATACGGGATACAGACGAAAAATAGACAGACTCACCTTCCAGGCAATGTATAATAGCTATTGTCGGCTAGTCATTTCATGATATGAAGCTCACTAATTCCCGAAACCAAGCAGGTACTAAAGAGATTTGAGCAGTCAACATGTATTGATCATTGTCAGAAAAGGAATATCTTCTTCTAATCTACCATAAACTATTTCATTCGTAGCACAAATGGATGTCATGAAAATATAACGTCTCAAGTTTCTATTGACAACACGCAGGGCAGAACACACACACAATATATATATATATATATATATATATATATATATATATATATATATATATATATATATACACAACGAAATGTAAAAAGAACGAAGAGCAAGATTAGCGTTCAAAACATTAATTTAAAGCATGTCTTAATACAAAAGTAGAGGCGTAATTATTTATTTGGTATGCAGTGTTACATTAGAACATGCATCGTGATTCATGTTACACTATGTTACATTGTTTCGTGTTACATTAGAACATGCATCGTTGTTCATGTTACATTATGTTACACTGTTTCGTGTTACATTAGGACATACATCGTGATTTGTATTACATTATGTTACATTGTTTCGTGTTACATTAGAACATACATCGTTGTTCATGTTACATTATGTTACATTGGTTCGTGTTACATTAGAACATGCATCGTGATCCATATTACATTGTTTAGTGTTACATTAGAACATGCATCGTCATTCATGTTACATTATGTTACATTGTTCCGTGTTACATTAGAACATGCACATACATAGAGACGCATGATGAAACGTTAAGAGAATATTTTCGTATCTTTAAAGTTGAAACAAGATGTACAGTTTTGTAGTAGGCATGTGCATGTTCTAAAGTAACACTGCATAATAAATAAATTTGTGAATATATATATATATATATATATATATATATATATATATATATATATGTACAAACATTATTTAAATATATCTTATTTTTAAGTATAATTTTGTCCTTTTAAGTATGATTTTCTATTTTTAAATATAACTTCATTTTTTTTTTTTTAAACCTCTTTTTATTCCTCTCTTAGTTTTAAATTAACATTTCTTTCTTCATATAACCCGAATTTAATGTCATAAGGTTACCATCGGGGTTTAATTTTATAAGACCTCTTCCCTTTAAGACAAATACCTTCCACCTTCGCCTGACCCCTGCCTCGTGACTTTCATTTGATTGAAACATTGAAATAGATAAATTCTGTATTAGTTTTTCAACGACTTTTTTTCTTTTTTTTTTTTTTTTTGGTAGCTTCGGAATTAAACTTCTAATACCGACACGAACTCTGTCCATACCCGGGTTGAATAAGACTGACGAATTTGATTTTTTTCGTCAGTCGAAATAAGCATATTTTCCATATAAGTTAATTTTAGATTTTATTGCGTATTAATTTTTGCTCTGTAATAATAAATACATCGAACTCTTTTTGAGGATCACTTTTAACATATATATATATATATATATATATATATATATATATATATATATATATATATATAAATTTTATTCGAAAATTATGAATAAATATGTTATAAAATCACTACAAAATTTTGTTCCAACATTTTGGTGTTTTATCAAGTGATGGTGTTGAATGTAGAATAAAAGAAAATTTTGGGTTATTGGAATTTATTCCGTATACACTAAAATATATATATATATATATATATATATATATATATATATATATATATATATATATATATATATATATATATATATATATATATATATATATATATATATACAGGGGGTCCATAAAGTGTATTTTTATTTGTATTTATTGTCTATATGAAATTTTATTTAAGTTTCCACATGTCCTCCATCGTTAGCAATACTAAGGGTAATACGCTGGAAAAAAGAAAATATTTTTTACTTATCTAAAAATTGTTTCAAATTTTGTGGTAAAGAATTATTCAATAACTATACTTAAAACTAGGTACATTAAACCATATAACATTTTTTACAGATTATTTCTATCGCAAATACAAATAAAGTTATAAATTTTTGTAAAGTGCACACGAACTTTATGGACACACTGTATATACATGTTTAGTTTATATATAATATAATTTATATAAATATATATTCTTAATTTATATATATATATATATATATATATATATATATATATATATATATATATATATATATATATATATATATATATATAATGTTCGAATAAATTATATATATATATACATATATAATACATATACAATTTATTCGAAAATTATTATTAACCAGGTTCTTGAGGACACATGGCACAGTGGATAAAGGCATTAGTTAGATCCAATGACAGGACCCAAAAGAGTGTGAGTTCAATACCCGGTTAAGGCAGTGGAGATCTTGGAGAGGGGAATTAACAGGAGATAACTGATAACTGACATCCATTAAACGTGGCACTTGGAACTAGAACAGTCTACCCCAGTGAGTGAAATAAAGGGTTCAGTTCGACATTCCAACCACCTGAAGAAGGCCGGAGCGTACAACGACCAAAACGTTGTGATAAATATGGCGACAAAGATGAGGACAATAATCCGAATATTGTAAATAGTGTACACAATACCTTATCTCAGAAATATAGACAGGTCTAGGAAGTTGTTTTGAGGACGGTAAGTGTGACAGAGAGATCCGTAGAGGTATTGGGATGGCCCAGGACGCATTCCAAAAGCTGGATGGAGTATTGCGAGACAGGAAGATTTCTTTGGTAACAAAGAAAATAATACTGAGCCGTTACGTGACATCAGTCCTTCGTTACAGCAGCGAATGTTGAACGATTTCCTCAATGATGAAGAAGAGACTCGAGGCGACAATATGGTTCTACGGAAGGATGCTAAGGATATCATGGACCGAGCGTGTGAGCAACGATGAAGTCTTTGAATGGATGCAAACAAGGAGGAAGCTTATACTTAACATCAGGAAGAAGCCGCTGGAGTTTCTGGAACGCATAATGAGAAAGGAGGCCCTGGAGAATCTGATACTCACGGCTCGAATAGAGGGAAAGAGAGACAAAGGAAAACAACGCATGACATACCTAGCGGGCTTGAGCAAGTGGATGTCAGAACGTGGTCTGGAGGTTATGACGGAAGGAAGGAACTTGTTGAGAGCTGCAAGGGATAGAGGGAGGTGGAGAGACATGATCGCCTACGTCCTGAAAGGAGATGTCACATAAAAAGAAACAAACATTGTTTTACGGAGGTTACCCTATCTAGGCGATAATATCGTACGATTCCACACTTATTCTCCTTCGTTTTACAGTCCGACATAGATCCACTCTGGGGTCTGTGTTTTATGTTTCTCTTCGGCCTCATAAATACAAACCTTTGCTTTCCGAACTTTCTTCGTTGTCTAACTTGGTTTTGTGTTACTAAAGTCAAATGAGGAAGTGTTTATTCTTTTATGACAAACCGTTTTTGTTTTTTCCTCACAAAACTTATGCACCTCTTCATAAGGAGGAAAAGAAAAAGAAACATTAAACTCACTTGATTGGCTATAAAAGATTTCTTAATGTCAAGTCAAAAAAAAAAAATACAGACTTGCGCACAACACCAGACTAAACGTTATCATAGATGCGCGTTTAGTATCAGCGGGAAAAGTGGAATCGACGGAGCAAGTTCAAATTCACGTCTAGTCTATTACCCTTGGGAAAGGCATGAATCCATCTCTTCTGCCTACTCCTCGGCCCTGTTAAATAGCAGAGTAGAAGACGCTCTCTAGCTTCGATTGGCAACCAGCCTAAGAAAAGGAAATCTCTGAATTCCAAATCGTAGAAAAGGAAACAAGAAACCTCGTCACTGTTTTTTCCCCACAAGAACAAACATGGTAATCCACAGATAATAAAGAAAAGAAAGTGATAGAGGGTCATGATCACCTCTGCCTTACAGGGACATGGAATTAAAATAATGTTACCATAAGAAAAATTACATG